GAAAGAGATTTTTCTCTCCTGCTTCCTCTTGTAAGGGCACTAATCCTATTCATAAGGATTCTACCCTCACAACCTGAATACTTCCCAAACACCCCACTTTCAAATACTATCACATTGGGGATTAGGTTTCAACATATGAATTTTGAGGGAACACAGTTCATTCCACAGGAGCTACGTAATATTGACTTTGATTTCTCAGAGATGGCAAAATAAAAAACAAAAAAGAATAGGAGAAATGATGCTAGCTAACATTATTGGTCTGTCTTTGTGCCAAGCCTCATTCTGCTTTAGAGTTTGGGTTCCTTAGAAACAAACTCTGAGACAGAGGATTCCACACTGGAGGTTTATTAAGAAGTGCTCTCGTGAGATATCACTTGTAAGGAAGTGAGGAGGGCAGGCCGGGGCAAAGCAAGATATGGACCCAAGCTACAGTTATAGCTGAGGCTTTAGATATAATTACAGGAAGTTCTGGCAAAGGGACTGAGCTTTTGTGTGCTGCATCAGGCAGCCTTTGGCCAAGGGTTGCCCCCTGATGGGGGTGTAACCTTAGGTGAGGCATTTCCCTGCCAGGAGGGCAGTTTTTACTGAGGGAAGCAGCTAAGTCATCAGAATCCTATATTCCCTAAAACTGGCAGATAAATGTGGCAGCTGGAGAGGACCTGGGTAGAGTCTTGTGGTATCTATTGCAATATATTAATTCACTCAGCTTATATATCATAAATACTATTACTAATCATATTCTCCCCTCTCCCACTAACAATTTTATATAGGAGGCACAGAAAAGTTAAGTGACTTATTGAGTGAGTGCCTGAGTTGTGATTCAATTCTAGGCAGTGTTTGCTCTTAACCCCTATGCTTTACTGATTCCATGTACAGGATCCTAAATCTGAGATATATTTGGTAGGCATTAAGGATAGTGGTAAGAAAGATTGCAAGTAATCTAGTACATAGTACATTTTGTTTAAATCCCAGTACAAAGCACTCAAAAACAGTATCACTGAATTTTTTGGGAGGGTCTCTATACCGAAATCTTTTTCAATACAGAGTACTTCCAAGCTTTCTCATATTGACTTTCATTTAAAGCTGCATTATTGTTGTTCTGGACGAGGTAATGATGTTATCATTCTCTTCTTTACTCATTTACAGACAGTCGTTATTGGATCTTACCTAATTGCACATGGGTTCTTCAGTGTCTATGCAATGTGTATTGATACACTTTTCATCTGCTTCTGTAAGTTTTCAGAATATGGGTTTTCCCCCTTCAGTGGATAACTGAAAGATGAGAGAAGCTTAAGAACCAAGTCCATAGCTGGCTTGTGAATTTGCTATGACCTGACTGCAATCGCAAAACAATGTTTATTTGGGGAAATACATAGTTTAGTAGACAGATGCTCTTTGAACTTTAATGGCTGGGAGAATGGAGTTTGCAAAGTGCAGGAGAGTCAGCTACCAAAATGAAGCTCAAGCTTCATAACATGATGTTAGCATGAAATCATTTGTTCATTTCCTAATGTTTTTAAATTTATCCTAATGATTGGCCTCTGTGGTGCTTTATTAACAGAACTGAAGACATGACTGAGCTTTGGAAAATCTTTGAGGAAAGCCTTTATAGATTCTGATAAAGCCAATGGTTTCAAAGACACATAGAGGGCAAGTCACACTAACACGATGACAAAAGGATAGGATTCATAGAGGAGCATGTCTAGGAAATGGCTAGATCAATTCTGATGCTTAGAGTTAAAATACAGACTTCTTTAGAACCTTCATCACTGCCTTGTTCACTGTGCCTCTTTGTGATATGTGCAACTCACATACATAGAATGGATGTTTTCTGTTAGTACCTTATCTTACAAGTCCTGGAGAACCCAGTGCCCACCAGGAGCTTGATCTGGCTCTCATCTTCAGCCTAGAGAAAGTAAGGTCAGCAGGTGAAAGAACAGAACGTATTAGCCCTACATCTGTACCCTCTGAGATTATTTCTCTGGCACAATCCTCTTAGGAGAAGTAGAGAAAACATTCTATAACACACCATTACTGAGTGATCCACTCCACTTGTATAAAACTCCTGAGCTGGAATCAGGAGCATGGGAATAAGGTAGGGCCTAAAACATAGTAGAGAGCTCTCAAATGTTCAAAGATTTCTTCTGTCATCTCAGATGCTAATCATGGGAGCACCTCAGGGAGACCCCGCTGGGATACTCCTCATTCTTGTCACTGAAAATGTTTTTAAAAATGTATCTCAGGAAGTCTCTAGATCCTACTTGCTTCCAGTCTTTGAAAACTTTGGCAAATCTTGTGCATTTTAAAATTTACAGTGGATTTTAAATTTGAGCAGTAAGAAATGTTTTACACCCTTCCATATTAAGAATTGCCAACCTCTTGAAAACCAGATGTAATTTCAGCTTTATTCAATACATTGTGTGTTGAACACAAATAGTTTCCTTTCAGAGACTCCTGTCTTTGATAATAAAGAACAAGGGAAACCGAATTGTATTTCTCTTCCCTTCCCAACTGTTACTATGGGCAACATCTTACTTTGGAAAATGTTTTTCTTAAATAATACTTTAAGCCAAATTATGATTGTGTGGAACTGTACCTTCTATTTTTTTATATATCTTTTTATACCTATTATTTTGGCTGCCAGAAAAACTGGTGTTTTTAAAAATGTAAACCACTTGCAAACAGTTCATTATAGAAACATAGCATCCATTTAGCATTACAAGGCACTGAGAATTCTGGCCCCAGAATGGGAAAAAATAATAATTGTAGATGATTATTAATGTGATCCATAGCAGGCTTTCTATCAATACCTCAAGGGTGATTATAACATAGACATACAATATATAATATGTGATATATGATGTAGAAATATAATTAAGAAAGAAGGAACAAAAATGTTTGATATCTATCATGTTTTCTCCTTATCTTTTTATTTTGTATGTGAGGGAGGTCACTGTGAAGTGTAATGTAAAAATCTATGGAACAAAAACCCAACCATTCCCAAAAGAGTGTGATGAAAAATAATTTATATTTATTCCACAAAATATAATTATCTTATATGGCTTTGTATATTTCTCATCCTTTATGTCATAATAAACAAAGGCTATAAATAATATAATTTTTAAAAAATACCAGTCAAAACCTAGAATCAAGTTGCATTTATATATTTATTGATAGATATTATCTACTATGAATTCTGTGTACCTGCAGGAAGTTTAAATTCCATACAAACTTCTCCTTGCTTCTCAGCATCATTCTGGGGCTTCCCCTCAAACACTCAACAAGGGTCTGTTCAGGGAACACCTCATCATTTTATCATTAGCTAGGCAAAGCAGGAAGCTAAATTCATGCATTACAGAAGTTAGAAAACACTGGTATCAGCTTTTGAATGTAATCTGAGACAGAGTACAAAGATTTAGGACAGGATGCCTCATAGTTAAGTAGGACTAGAACTGAACTAGGTGTCCAGAAGCTGGGTCTTTACCTAATCCTGATTTTGCTCCAGAGCTTTCGACTTCAGGAGAAACATTTTTACATTCCTGGGTCTGTTTCTTCACCTGTAACATTAGAGTGTGGACTACCAATAAAAATGACTTTGAACTTTGAAATTTAGTTATTATTCTACATTTATCTCAGGAATAATAAACTTTTTATTCAGTTTTATCTCAGCAGGTGTGGCAATTTACCTTTCTGAAATAAACAGTCACAGAATTTAAGGATAACACTTTTGAAAAGATATGAAAAATTTTATTAACCTTTAAACTATCAAAATAGTTTGAGAATAGGTGGGATTTAGGAGGTTTTGGTGCTTCCTGGCAGAGATTGAAGCTTCTTACTTTGTCCAATGCCAGCCACTTAACTGCACTAATTTGTCTTATATTTTCCTTTCTAACACTGATTTCTCTGATTTTTCCCTGTTTGACTCTCCAATTTATAAAAATGCGTATAATTGTTGTTCTGCTGCTGCTTGCTGCTTTTGCCTGCTTTGGCTGCCGCACATACAGGTGAAGATCTGGAAAGAAATGATGGATCTACAGAAAAACCCTACTTCATAGCCCCTACCCTGCACGGAATTCTGAACAAGAAGCAACTAGTTCCCCAGAAGCAGAAAGAGTAGAAAAGCTTCAAACAGTGCCACTCATTTTTAAGTAGAAGTTTTGTAAATCAGGTCACTTGTAATTTGCAAATGATGCTTTGGAGTAATGTTAAATTTCTGTGCTTATTTCTAAAAAGCCAGAACCTGGTACCATCTGAGGTGTCGAGCATTTGATAACACTAGCCTCTGTGAACTAGGATACTTTATAGACTGACTATGGTCCCAGCTGAAGAGCAAAGTATAAACATCGAACATTTTTTTAAAGTCGATAACTGAAAGTGTTTTAAAAACTTTTATAACTCGGCATGCTGTTTCTTATTGCAGCATTTTGATAGCCTTTCTTTTTATAAATGTATATTTGTAAAGGATATTCAGGCAATTTTTGAAAGCGCTATAAATGTATAATCAATTAGCCATACAAAGATTGACTTATAGTTAACCAGCATAAGGTACTAAATTTGTAAATGTGGTGCTATGGTTATATTTATAAAACTGTTCAAGCTAGTGGACAACTCTAAACTGTGATTGAACTTGTATTAATGGTTCCCTAGGAAGTATATTTCAGTAGGTGAGTCAAGTCTATAACAAACATGTAGATGTTAATGTGTTATACTGGTTCCATAGAGAGCGTTACTAGGTAAAATTTACTGTGGAACCTTGTGAAATTATATCTATAGTGAAGTTGAATCTGAGTTCTGGAATGTCATTTTCAATAATATGAACCTCTGGCCATCGTGAAAATACTCTGAACAAAGCTGAAATGGCTACATAACTCATGTCTTTTGTCTTTAACCCAAATAGAGACAAATGTCTATTTTCCTGTTCCCAACATATAGAAAATTGGTTTTGTTTCAGAAGAGTAATTTTATCTTTTCATGAGCATACCTGTTTTTCTAGATTAAAGAGATTGTGTGACTTTGTTCTACAAAAGGTTTAATTTTAGCCCAACTTTCAGAGAGGAAAGGGAAAAAATAAGACACTTTGGATTTTACCCTAAGGAAATATACTATTAGCTTTCCATAAACACTTCATCCGGCACCTTTATAGGGGGGCATCCTATGGATTAGGAAGCCTGTCCCTCAAGCTGTTGCCATATTCCACCCCCTCTGGCCAGAGCAACCTGCCAGTTTCTGGCAGCCATGCCCAAGTCTTTTGCATGGCCCAGCAAAGCATGAATCAGACACTCGCATGCATTGCCTATCCATCCCCTGTATGCAAGTGAATATGATATGGCTAACAGTGTAAAAATATACCCCAAAAGGAGCACTGAACCCAGTAGTATCCTTTTGGCTTTTAAACTAAGGTTGTACATAAGGATTATTTATGTATTAACAGAAAAGAACATGTTGATCTAACATTTTGATCTGAATATAATCCATGTATCCAAGAAAGAAGTCAAAAATATATCGTGTACAAATTAATATAAGTTTTAATGATCCTAAAGTGTGGAAGCCTAGATTTAGACTGACTCCATGGCAGCTTAATAGCAAGAAGCCAACGAATAAGGAAGATTTTCAAAATGTTGGTTCTTAAAATGGCCACCATCTTATTCTTGGCTTACTTTCTTGAGATTATTGCAGTCAAAAGTATCAGTTGGCTTTACATCTTGGCAAAGGATCTTCTTCAAGCTTATTCTCCTCGAAGTATAATTTAGAGAAGAGTGGCAACCTATCTTTCTAGATGGTTATTATTATTATTTTATTATTCAACAATACAGGGGTTACAACAAAGATCTAGTAAAATAAATATTGGAAATTATAAGGAATAGGTCTACTTTAGGAGTAGTCAAAAAGTTAATAATGGTGAAATAAAACAAATTTTAATTTTTTTGTATGTATCAGATTCACTCTGAGAACTTGTTATAAATATGGATGCTTGTGCCTCGCCCCAAGAGATTCCGATATATTGTGTTTAGGTGTCGGACAGTTTATGAATTATTATAAAGTTCTCTAGGTGATTCTGATATGAATAAAAGTTGGAAAATCACTGTTCTAAGAGCTATAAATTTGAAAAAGACAAAGGAGACTAATTTGGAGAAGTCTAATAATTGTAACTCTTGTATTTTAAATCCTTGGTCCTAGATGGGGCCTATGTATTAAGTGTTTGACATATCTGCTGATTAGACAAGAAAATTCTCCACAGCAAAAGTTTTCACTGAACTATATGGGGAAGTACATTCTAAACTTGGCTATATTTTAAGAATATAACCCTTGGGAGCAAAATCGTAGAAAAGAGAATGCTGTTTGAATCAATATTTCTTAATAGTTTCTTTAAAACTTAAAGAATCTCTAATTCTTTTAAGTTGGAATGATATTATGGGCTTATTTCTAATCAGAAAAATATTCTCCGCTAATAACTTCTTTGTGTAATTGAAATACATTAGAGTAAAAAAGAGCATTGTTTCTGAGGAAAAAATTTAGAAGCCATTTTCTAACAAAGAAATTAAACTAATTACTGAAAAGGTGCAATATTTCTCAAAATCTGCAGTTTAAGGATTTTTGAGATACACTAAAATTTACAAATCTCATTTTTTAAAACTATCCTATCTAAATTGTTGATGGCCAAACAAATTTTGAACAAATATGGTAATTTAGAAAACAAATTGAGAGCATTGTACTTTTAAGAAATTTGAAAGTGAATTTAGATATTCCTGATGAATCTTTTGGTTTTTTTTGTAACTAAGTTTGCTGTTCAAAAGAAGGTAAAAGTCATTTCCTTAATCATGCATCTGAGAGGCATGTACTATTGGCAGAATCTGACCTGGTAGACAGAATGAGATAGTACCTTACTGACATAATAACAAGGGCTGATTGTTTTCTCATAGTTATGTTTACAATAATGTTGATGCCAAACTATGCTGTTTAAAAAACAAAAAGAAAACATATTTTGAACTGCTGTAAAGTAGAAAGGCAGCAGATGGCGATGTTACTTCTCTTACAGCTTTGCTTTGACATTTATTCTGTGCCATTCTTCCTCCTAGTGGAAGATTTAGAAAGAAACGATGGTTCTACTGAAAGACCCTATTACATGACTCAAACTCTGCTGAAGATGTTCAACAAGCCAAGTGCATAAACTAAGAAGCAGAAGTGTAAACTCCGATCATTCTGCAGTGGTGTGTTTACCATTTTCTCATCTGCTGCGTCTGTGTAACACTCATTTCATAAGTGCTTTGTTTGGAACACTATTCACAACCTTGTTGGCTTTTATTTGCATGTTTTATACCAAAGCTTATACTGTAATATATGAAGCCATCAGAAGTCGCAAGGGAATTGTTACTATCATGGAACATTTTTATACTAAGACCTTTTGTTTTGTAATTCATTTTTAAATAGAGTGGCTTGGATGTTTTGAAAATATTAGTGAATATGTTAATATTCTTTTAAATATTTGATTGAAAAATGATATGTTATTTAAATTGATAGCTCCTAATATATTTTTTAAATTACAACTAAAAGACTTCTGCAGGGAAAATTGATGAACAAAGCAAAACAGAAAATTTTAAAGTTTTCCCCACTTCTGTTTGATAGTAAATCAGTAAAAGGACCGACCAGCTCCAGATTTTGCTCTAAGTATAGAATGTTTCCTATTAAACAAATTGCCAATCATCCAGCCTTTACTACTTCGTTCTCTCTGACAAAGTGCCTTACTGGCTGTTTAATGTTACCCAGCTTTTGTGGGCAAGTTTACAAACATCGTTTAAAAAAAAAAAACTTGCAATGTTTAGTGATTAAAACAAGTCTTCTTGCATTTGTTTCCTCTTAGTTCACTGGTTGGAAACCATTTGTCATTTCAGTATGTTTGATATCCTCACTATATAGAGAACGTTTTGCAGCATAAACAAATTCCCTTGCGCCTAGTGGACATTCATGAATGTGTACTATACGCAAGAAAAAAAAAAAAAAGAAAGGACACTCGTTGAGTTTCTTTTTTTAACTAAAAGCTATAAGTTTAAAAATGTAACATTTTCTATAGTAGATCTTTAAAAATACAATAAGTATGAGACTATGTTTCTCAGTGTTTTACATAGAGTAGAAAAGGGAAACTGAGAAATTACAAAGGGAAACTCTTCCCTGAGCAAGGGCACTCACAGACATCATGTACTAAATAGCTCGCTCCGTTTTAAATGATTGTTTATTATCATTGAAGAGTGTTCTATGTATGTCATTTTATTTTCTAACTTTTGATATAAAATAATCAGTTTACTTATAATATGTTAATTTTTATTGTGCTAATATCATGCTAAACAGGAACATAATTTCTAGTTCAATTTTAAATAACTTTACTAGTACTACTAACTTTAAGGAAAATGAATTCAGTTTGTTATTCAATGTTATGTGAAGAGCCCGTAAAGCATTCACCCTAAGGGGATGTCAGTCACACGTGATAGTTTGTGAAAGCTTTGAGAATCAACAGTAAGTTGCTATCAGTTTGTCTATTATCACATTTGTTTAAATGTGACTTTAGATATTCTTTTATGCCAAAAACAAACTCACATGAGCACGTGACAGTCTGAGCTCTATAATCAGCGTGTTTCTGCTGTGCAGAAATATTAGGAACGTATTGTCTAAATATCTTTGATAACTAAAATGTTTAATATTTAATGAAACTTGTTGTTACTCATTGTTTTAAATCTGTTTTTTTTCTTCTAATAAAGATTTAGATAGATATTCTTTTATGCCAAAAACAAACTCACATGAGCACGTGACAGTCTGAGCTCTATAATCAGCGTGTTTCTGCTGTGCAGAAATATTAGGAACGTATTGTCTAAATATCTTTGATAACTAAAATGTTTAATATTTAATGAAACTTGTTGTTACTCATTGTTTTAAATCTGTTTTTTTTTTTCTAATAAAGATTTAAATAAAAAAAAAAAAAAAAAACAACTGTCTGCCTTCTTATTTCTTTAAGCTAGCAATGGACAAAATCTTTAGTTTTTAAAATCCACCAGACTCTGACAGGATCTTTTTTGTATCAAATAGCTAAGGTTTTTCTTTTTCTTTTTTTTTTACATCTAGATTTAT